CATTTTTGAAGCAAGTGCACATCGTTTACAGACTTTGTTTTATGTGTTGACGGAAATGACGCCATGTTGTGCCTTATGCTTGGTTAATAGTTTAAAAGTTTTCTAAGACTCACATTTTGTAAATGTGCATCGGTTTCATTTTCCATTTGCTTGAAGCAACCCGTTGGTTATTACTGTACCAACCTAAATTTCGGGAAAGGCTGCAGAAGCCCTCTGTCTCACCGTCCATAGTTTAGTGCAGATGCATAAATGTTCCTCCGGCATTGGTGAAGCTAGCGCACAAAGTATGCAGTGTTTATTTTATATGTTGACTGAAATCACGCTATGGTGTGCCTCCTGCTCGGGTAATAATTTAAAACGTTTTCTTAAACTCACATTTTGTAAGGATGCACCTGTTTCATTTACCATTTGCAGGAAGTAACACATTGTTTCTTACCGAACGGATCTACACTTTCACAATAAACCTTGAACTGCCAACTACACGATTGATCGGTCAAGTAAATTTACCGAAAAGCTCCATGACAGGAAATGACAGGAGAAGTGCGACTGACACACTCCCTGTCATCGCAATGTCATTTTTTCATGCTTCACGCGAATAGTTTCAAAGGAGATCCATTACGCACACTGGCTTTAATTCACGTAAACATTCAATGTCCTCTGGATTCGTGCGAATGAGAAAATATACTGGGATGGCCGAAAATGGGGTTCTAGTACATTGTCGACGTGAGTTTCCCTCGTTCGTAAAGTGTATCACGTTCACGTTTGTCGTTAAGGTATCCCACGCATTGAGGGCTTATGGCGTGTATGGCGAGTAAATTAAAATGTTAACTCGCATTGCCAATGAGGCGTTCTTTATAGCTGCATAACACTTATTGTGCAATTATTTCTCTTGAGATTAGAAGTGGATGCAATTTTGATCTTGCTTATTTCAAGGAACAGTAGTTAGGAATGTGATGATTCATGTTTTTTTTCGATACGAGCCAACTTTTTGATAAATTTACTTATGCCAAAAGTTGGAACTATGTGGTGGCTTTGTTTTCACATTTATTATCGGGTACATAAATCTTGATAGCTATGTGCCACACATGTGTCCATGGATCAAAGGAAAGGATTTTACATTCATCTGGAAATATATTTGTTGCAGTATTTTGTTTCACAGTTTCACCCGCGATTCATGAATTGGCACCACACATAATTATCAAGCCCGTTGCCTATGTACCGAAATTACAAAGGCCGTTTCGGATGCCCGAAGGGAATGAATTTTAAATGTTCCCAATTCTAGTGTACAAATTCCCAAAATGCATAGAATATAAACTTCGGTTTCATGAAGCAATCTGCCAACCTAAACTGCCAAACCAAGTTGGGTGCATTCATACGCACGCATGAAGAGCAAACTGGTCAGCAATTCCCAGTTCAACGGGTGATACTCACAGAACTACAAATCTTAACCTCTTAAATTCGCAACAGCAATTTCAATTCCGTTTTTGGGACCGAGCGGATGACATGAATGCTGAGGTGGAACAATCGGAGTACAGTCCGGAGATAGTATCACTCGGTTACCGAACTGAGATGAGTCGTTTCAGCTGTATTTCAGACGTTCGCCTAACCTGTCACGCAAATGATGGACTCCTTTTGGAAGCATGAGCGTAACAGCAATCGGTCCCGGAATAAGATGCCCCAAAACCCCTTGGTAACAAACCGTGATTGTCGTTTTAGACATCAGTTTGAGCTAACTTGTGTCCTCATGATGGGACACGTTTGTATTTCTCTTTGATGTGTATAACTATTTATTTAGTGTTTTTTGCATTTATCAGTCCATCACGACGAGACAGCATCTTGACTTGGTGTGATGGCTAGTGCACCTCTCTAACCCAACGAGCATCCAGGATAACTTTTATCAAGCCGCAGATCTAAGCATGCTTGGAAATAGGGAGGGTACAAATAAGAAGCATTGCAAACTCCTGGTCCTCCAGATTGGAGGTTCAACTCGCGTTCTCGTCTCAGTCGAGACAATTGTAGAGCAGTGATCGATCTAAGTAAACTGGCCTGCACTTTGCTTCACCGGCTGCCTTGCGGTCACGTTCTTGTTAGAACTAAAGGCTTTGGTCGAGAAGCCCAATCGTTCTCCTGCTTAGTAGAAGGACAACCTGGCAGTACCTGTTCATCGAACTTGAATGCATGAGCAAACAAAAATAATTTCGTACTGCATATTTTGTCGCGCAGGATAGTGATAAGTGAGCTACTGCTCACATATCCTAACCTTTGTTTACCTATTTGCCTTCCGTTCCCAACCCTCTTCCTTTACACCTTCTTCCGACCCTAAACATTCTCTCAGACAACTTGTTCGTCACTCGTCAAAGTTCGTCGCCAAGTAACCCGGCAAGCAGTTTAGCACAAAATAAATTGCAAATTCGGAACCCTCGTCAGTCACTGAATGTGAGGGCCTTCAACGTGAGAACTTTGATGCAGATAGGTCGACAGTTTAAGATTGTTCCAACTGATACGCAACATTGAAGGTCGGAGAACCACAGTTAGTGAAACATTCTGCGAGAAAAGTGAACAAGCTATTGACAATAAAAAAACAACGGTTTGGCCCATGAGCGAAGCACTTCATTGAACAGTTCAGCTGGCTGGATACTAACCAGACTATTTTCGTCTGATGTAGTTTCGGCTCCATGGGAAGTGTCATATGAACCTCCTACTGCAGCAGACGTTCTTTCACGCATCCCAGCCCTGACTAAAGTAAACGCAGCTGGACTGTTTGGAACTTGTAGGCGATGACCTCGTAGGCTCCATCATTGATCTAATGCGTACAATCTGGTCACATAAGCCGAATCTTTCATCCCCGAATGGAACATTGGTTGCTACCATTTTTAAGAAGACATCCAGCAACGACTGCTCAAACCACTGTGGAATTAGCTTGATCCCAATCGGCACCAGATTACTAACCTCCGTTATACTTCGACATCTGATACTCTCCAGGGCGACAAATATCCGCGAACAACCGGAAGGATTCCAACCAGGTCGCGGTTGTCGATCAAATCTACATTCTGCCTCAAGTCCACGGGCGACACCATAGTCACGGCTGGCCAACGGTTGTCATGTTCCTCGTCCTAAAAGTAGCCTTCGACTGAGTTAGCCGCGAATCCGTTATGGGTTTGGTTATTCGTCAATGGATTTCGTAGAAGCATTTAGACATATTGAGTTTACTGTGATCTGAGTATGTCGTTCGGAATTGGCAGCAGCGTTGATCAAGGGTGTCCCCTATTTGGCATTCCAGTTCAAATTCATCATTGACAAAATACTAAAGAACACAGTAAATGGTCTCCAAAATATAGATAGAGAATCAGCAGCTTGAGAAAAGCCGTGCAATTTCGAGTGCATTGAAAACATCGTTCGTCCGTTTGAGTCCATGGATGTTGCTCAAAAAGCACTTCACAGATATGCAAGTTCCGTCGCTCCGTTAGGCATGTGCGTGACACCTTCAAAGTACAAAACGATGCCACAAGACGGAATTTAGGTCCGAAACTAACCGTTCAGGAATTAGCTGCAGGTGACTACTTCTTGTACTCAGGTAGCTGTGCGACCAACGACGGTAGCGAATCAAAGGCGATAACCGCCCGTATTTCCAAGGCTTGAGCAGCGTACACAGAACTGATACATCTAACGCGGCGTTGTGGTTTCAGTCAAGTTAAAAATTCCGGTGCATTCAGTTTTGTTGTACAATTGTGAAACCTTGAATCTGTAAGTAGAATACATCGCTTAGCAGTGTTCGACACTCGATGTCCGTATAGTCTGGTTCAGAACGGATAGAGTGAGCGGGTTAGTAACTTGGAAGTAAATCGTGGGGGGTTTGGTAATACCACAAAGAAGAACTCGCCATCGAACGCCATGAAATAAAGCTCAATAGGCTCCGTTGGTTAGGGCACGTTTTGCGTATGTCCGACTGTTCCTATCACAGCGCCTTTATTGGCAGTGATTTTACAGGCTGATTAAAACCACGTGTACGCCAGAAGATGAACCGGAGGCGGAGCAAGAAGAAATACACAGAGCGATTAGATTCAGTAGGCGTCTCACGGCTTCCGGGTTCGGGTCCAAAAGATTCCGAAATTACATGTTTGGAGACAAGGAAGATCATGGTTGAGACCAACAGCAATGGAGATCATGCTGTCAATCTTATCAGACAAGAATTCTAGAGATAATATGTATGCGTAGCTGAATTGTTTACTCGGTATGTTCACCATAGAGTTTCACTTCCTTTTCGCGTCCCTCAGAATAGGGAAGATTCCTTTCCTCCTTAGACATTCTCAGATACCTTGTATGCAGTATGAGTTTGACAGGGATTAGTGAAGTTCGCTTCCCTGGTTTACACTTTGCAATGATGATGATGATGATGATGATGTGCTCATCAGATCGAGTGTTCACTTTGATTTAATATGTGAACGCGTGTTCCACAAGGCAATCTAGGACTGACAGAAAATCTTTTTTTATTTCCCGCAGAGTATTCACGCTAAACATGTTTGAAAATTACTTGGACATGGACGACCTTTGTGCGACAGGAAGCGCCGATAGCTGGGTACGTTTGCTCAGTGAAACCTCCGTGTTTATTCTAACAAGGTCTATGCAAATGTCTCCTGATTTATGGAGTTTTGATATAAAATTGTTTGATCTCTCTTAGTTTCTTCTATGCTGATGATTCCGACTGATTGTTGTTTCGAGCCTCTGATGAATCAAATGCACAGTCTTTTAATCAATTTTTCCTCAACAGGATTCTGTTTTCATGTGTTGTACGCTAAGCTGGTAAGTGTTTTTAGTAACATCATACGATACCGTGAAATATATCGTCACCTCATGTGATGGTTTTGAATTGCTGAGATCTGAATTAAACGGTTGCCCACCAGAAAATTTGTTAACTGATACATTTTGAAGCACAATCCACTTGGTGTAATCGTTTGGGCGGTAAGACCAAGTACCCGGAAGATTAGTCCTAACGGAGGACGATGAACAGTTCGGAGACAATAGCTGTGCATCACATCATATGGATCAAAGCTGCAACTATTTTCAGTTATGGCAATGAGCTTCCCCTAAATGACACACAGCCATATCGATTGACCGAGGTGCTGGTAAGTAGTGAATATATTGATTTTCTCCCACCAGTATTTTTACGCACCATGTCATGTCAATAAATGCAATACGTTTCTCGTCAATGCGATCAGGTATTCATGCGTATCAATTGTCATTCTCCGGTCAACCAAAATCTCACAAATCTGAAAACAGATTTTGTTTCCGAAAGATATGTACATTTGGTCTTTCTTGGTTTCAAATGTTCTGCAAAACGGTTGTATGAAGTTGTATTTTACAATATTGTTTTGAAAATTCAGCGATACACATACACCAGCTTTCAGACAGAAACAGACCACGGTCACAACGCTGTCACAGAGCAGACAAAAGAAATTGAGAAATACGTGTTAGCTTTGACAGGATACGCCTCACAAGCTTGAAACCGGGCTTTAGCAACCAAAAGAAATCGCAAAGGATTAGTGAACGGGTATTGGTAGAACACATCGTCGAACAAAAACTCCAATTACAGACAAGGCAGAAAAAAATGGACGCAATCCTCTTGTCTATAAGGAGAGCATTTTCGGCTTGCAAGCAACAGTTTTTTCATTCATAGGCTATCGCAGGTTGCTTCCAAGTGTTTCAACTGGCTACGTCAAACACCCGGCATTGCTCGCTGGCCTTCTCTGAATACGGACACTGAAGGAAGAAGTTGAAGAACGGTTCACAGTGAAAAAATATTTATCGGGATAGAGCCTCAGACCGAATAAAATGGAATAGGCAACGGAACGGTTTCAGTCTATTATATACACGCATATATGCTTTTCTCGTTTAGGGACCCAAGTAAGAAACGGTATCCTGTGTTTTTATGCAAACAGAAAGATATTATCGGGGTGATGAGAAATAAACGAGGTTGATACACAAATGACCGCTAAATCCATTTGAAAGCAGTGGAAGCCGGAGGAAGTTGAAAACCTTTCGCAGTTGCATCCTTGCGATTTGGTTTTTTGAATAGGTGATTTTCTCCGCGAGTTTAATAATTGGGGCATGTATGCAACGAGAAAGGAATCTATAATAACTCCTAAGGAACTGGAAATCAGTTTTACTGCTTGAAGAGTTTTCTGTTTGTACATCACTTAATCGTCACAGAAAGGGACTTAAATATAAAGATTCCCACTGTCTTATTTCATACCGTATTAGAAAATAAAGTATTTACATTTCAGTTGTCTATGCATGTTCTTTTTCACAACGTAGGCGCTTATGACAAGCTGTTGATATACAAGGAGGTTGGGGAAATATATTCAACACGATACAGCAAAGGTCAAAACTCGGTACTACACGTCTGCAATATAGGTCACTTTGTACAAACAGCTTGTGTTGAAACGGAACCAGCCAGCAGGAATTTTGGGAGACTTCCTTATTACAGTTTAATTGGTTGTTAAAAGATTACGCTGGGGGAAACCGGCATTTGAATTGAGTAGATAAAATTTGGTATATGTATAGTTAAATCATAGCTTTGACCTTGAGCGGATTATAATGAAGTGTGCGATAGGTGACGGAATGTTCTGTACAAAGCGTCAGCGTGATTTGTAATGAAGTGACATAGGTAAGCGGTTCATGTGTTTAATTCGATTTACGGATCGTGTACGTTTAGGCAGAATAGAGTGATGAGACAACAACGGGTGAAAGATGCTCATAAAATTTGTGTTTGCTTTTGAAACGGGGTGTTTTTTGCTGTCTGACAAATCAGTTGTGATATCATCTCGGTTCACTGATTCTTTCCTAAAGCATCGATTTTCCATGGAGCAGTGAATGGTTTCAGCTAGCTGTAATTGTCATTAGTGAAACACAACAAGAGCACATTCCGTAATTGTGATCTTTTAATCCGCGCATTTCAGACTGGATCTTTCCATTTTGTGGAGAAGTGGGAGCTGCTTGCCGACGTGGAGTTCCATGAGCAGTTCGATTTCCCCAATAACGCCCACGTCAAGACTGTTACGATCACGATGGAAGTCTTCTGCTCGGTAAATCCACACATTTCGAAAGCGAGCAATAATCTGTTTTTCTCAACCACAAATGTAGTTCTATATGCCACCAGAAGTGAGTCATTTATCGTTTCTGGTTGTTACAACACTGAGTAAGATTATATGTATTCGCGATTCATTTTAGCCACTCTACAATACAATTGGTTCTGTTTTCAATAAAAACTCGGTGTGCGATAATCCGGGCATATAAATGAAGTCATAGAAAAATTCTTACTTCAGAACGAAATCGGAAACGCGCACTTCGGTTACTATGTTACATGCACATACTCCGAATGCCTGTTCAACAAATTGAAATTAAAATATTTGAATGCATCCTATTGTATTCTACTGCAATTACTTCCGTTTGATTAGAGCCTACATTTCAGTTAAGAATTTATACAAGTTGGAGCAGAAGAGAAAAGATAGAAATGCAGCAAGGGATATGAATTCAGAAATGTTAACTGTGTTTGTGAGAACCCGTTCTTTCTTAACGAGGATACGTGCTTATGAGGGTATTGTTGAGGTAAGATAAATGTTTAGTCAAGACGGACCAACAAAGATGGGGACATCAGGAAGTTCGATATGCATGTAGTAGATGTGCGGAATTGATAAGAATCGCATGTTTAACTTTTTCGCACGCATTCACATGGCGTTCGCAGAGGTAACTTACCAACTCCTCCAGCGGAATTGAAGTGACAGCTATGGATTATCTAGTTAAACGGGGAAAGCACACTGTTACACGAATTATTAAACAAAGGTCGCTGAATACGAAACTGACGAAGTTTACGGATATGAAAAGAAAGCCATCGAAGCTTACGGCCAATATGTTGAATGTAACAGGTCTAGTGATGATTAGTATCAATAAAAACACCCAGATATTCGATAGAATTTACCTGCGATACTTGTTTAGAACCGATCAATGTCGCTTGAGAGGCGGAAAGGGTGCNTCATAATGTAAAGAGGCATTAAGTGGGAGCATTAAGTAATAAGTCAGAGGTGGCGGAAAATTTTGAACGTTATCCAAGTAGTCAGAAATTTGTGAAGGACCAGACGACCCGATACAAACATATCGTCAACATATTTGAAACCCGAAATAAGGACACGTACACATAAGTCAATAAAATACGTAATAAATATGCATCGGGAACAAAATTTAACTTGATTTAAACCAAAATGGTTTACCAACCCTTTCGATTTCTTCCTGCTAATATGATACATTGAGTTCTCGCAGAGAAGTAATCGACAAGCCAAGCTAATACTTGTCTCGGACAACCAAAGGCCTTAATTTTATGTAGAAGAATGGAACGTGAAGTGGAATCAAAGGCAGATGAGTAGTCCAGAAACAAACAGCGGACAGATTTCGCAGAGAGCGGGTTAATGATTTAGTAATTTTATGTGAAACGGACGTAACGTCATCTGGCGTGCATCTGTTTGGTTTATAAGCAGACTGAGGAGAATCATATGGGGCATCAATGGAGGAATGGTTGAATGGTTTCACATTGTGCTCGCTTACGTCCAAAAGTGGTTAGGACAATAGGACGTTTGAAGTAGAAGAATTCGGAAATGGGAACAACAGTCTGGTATGGAGCCGGCTTTAAAGAATTTTTGAACAGTATGTGAACGTTTTACCGAGAGAATAGGCCAAGTAACTGAAAGGGAAAATGAAAGACTATCTAGCCACGCAATGCACGTAGTTTAAACGTTATGCAAAAGCTCGAATATTTCTTATTTCGAGGCTGGCTCTAATTGAACCGCGCCGTCCAGAACAAATGGCGTGATGGCATCGCTTGATGGGCGAATAAATTCTGCATTTTTATTGCACAAGTTCACTGTACAATCCGGCGTTTCATATTTCGTCCCACACAGTAATTTGATGCCTTGCCAAATGTGTTCACTGTTTTTACATTGCAGGAGCTGAGACACGTTTGACATCAGCTTTCATCAATTTGGAATAATAATTGACAGCTGCTGAGTCTCTAGAGTTGTACGATCGTTCCTTCTGTCTTCTGAATGCCTTCAACAGTAAACATGCTATTCTGCCGGTACAGCCAAATAGAGTTTTCGAATGGCAGCATAGGTTTAAGGTGTGGTTCATTGTTTCAGTGAACCAGTTGACTGCATTGCGTAAAACGAGGTAAGAAGTAAACGACGAAGAAACAACAACCAAAAAAATGCTTAAAAAGAATATTGTTCCTTGGGGAGCGATTGGGAAGACGGCTGGTGATTTGGTTGTTTTGTGTGAGTGTATTGTGAATGAGGCGGGAGTACTCCGTGGGTTTTATTAGAATAAGATGAAATAAAATGATTACATTAACCATGATAATGAACAAGGTGTTCAACGATAGACACCCACGGTGATAGATATTCTTTCAACAAGTATGTGCAATTCCGTATTTCGTCTCAGATACTGACTTAAAGTTGCTAGCAAGCAATTCAGACAACGAAAGTGACTGCACTGTGAGGATTCACAGTGAGTGCTGCCCATTCATTGAAACGCCATTAGCGGTTTGTTCAATGAATACAGGCGTGGAGATACACCCATATTGTGCACAACACAGCACCGTGTTGTTCGGCTCGCTACACGTGGTATACTACGTACGCCTGAACTTCAAAGGATTAAACAGGAATGCGTTCACGGCGGGCATTGAAATAACAATGGAGGGTCAAGCGTTCACCACTATGGAAAACGTAAGTTAAATCGGTTTAATTGATCGTTTATGACTTATTCAAATTGTAACTCCAAACAATCCATCATACGTGAATTTGCAAGTCAGACCACTAGAAAGAAAGTCTTCTTATTTTCATTGGGATAGACCATCAAAAAGTAATAAGATTTGGTGTAGAAATGTCACTGACTTCCAGGCAATTTTGAGAGAGAGAGAGAGTGAGGTGGAATAAGCTTGAACATAAATCTTTGGATGAGTGTGTAATCCATGCAGAATGCCAATCGTAACAGAGTAAGTGGACACATATTCGAACCATTCCCGCAAATAATAAAGAGACACCAATCTACTGATTCTGCAGTTGCTGATAGCATGTCCATGGGAGAAATTTGGCAAGATAAATGGTTTGGAACAAAATATGATCTAGAATGTTGAGTGTTAGGATTACTGCATTTCTGCGCTCATACTTTCAAGCCACGTTCTTCCGACAGAACGATCAAACATACATCTTCGCTTTGGGTGGACCGATTGCGGTCAGAGGTTTACGGAGGGTTGTTCAGAAATCAGTGGTTTTACGAAAAAATACACCTCACTCGATTCAAGTGTTTGGATTATCGACAGGCAGAGATATCCATCAATTCGGTATGTGAAATAAACGTGATGTTTCTACTTTCTTCCACATTCCACCGCACAACGCGCATCATTTCACTGGTAAATTGATTGAATTTTGCGCTTGGTTGGAACAAATCGACGATCGAGGGTGATACAGTTCTTGATCGCTATTATAGTGCCGATGTTTACGTGACAATAATTGTTTCCCCGTTTCACAGACCCATGCAAACCGTACAACACATTGAAAGGTCGAGGTGTACCGATGCTCCCGAATGACATGGTTTTGTTCAATCGGTCCTATTTGTACGTGGACGACAAACTGATTTTCGGCTATTTGTGGGAGCCATCACATCAGTGGAGCAAATATGCTATGAAGTGAGTGAAGTGTTGAAACTAGCAACATGTTCCCTGATCTCATATCATCCGCCACGAGTGGGTTCAACTCGCTCAATTCAAGGTGTATTTCATTTCAGTCCTCGGACCAACGGTATATCAGGTTATCGCATATCAACCTGATGAAAAAGTTTACTTTGGAATCGGGCCGGAACGATTGAGCATCGTTATGTCCACAGATCTAGAGCGGTCCTGGATTGGCATAAACCATTATGAATACCAAATCAATGGCCTTGACAAGGGCGTCAGAAAAGCGGATTATCTACCGTGGGAAGAAACCACAGCTTTGAGTTCAAATTCGATTGGTTCAAACTGCACCAAATACATGGCTGGAAATTGGCATATTGAGTCCATTTCTGAGAATAGTTCAAATATAACAGTGTTATAGATCCGTTCATGTGAAATATAACAAACATCTAGTCCAAATCACTGTTTATGCAAAAATGAATGAAGCGAAAAAATCTTGAGATGTTCCTCATGGAAGGTGGCCGAGACGATCGTTTACCAGACACTGACTTGTGCCAGAATCACTTGAATTTGACCAATGACTATTATGTAAAAAAGTTTTCCACTACATGATGTACAAGAGCATGATTGGGGAAATCCATAAACAATTGCTCGCTCATCAACTCGTTTTCTGAAGATTGAAATCCGCTATCTTTGAGGAGGATTGGAACCGACAGCACCGAATTGTGCTATGGCACTACGCATTTCTAGACTTCATCGCTTTCATATATGTTATCGCTTCTTTCTTCACTGCAACTCGTCGCTGTGAATTCTGAATTTCGGATGCCCACTTGATCTTTCAATTAGAATTTCTGACCAGGCATGCCGCTAAGCCGCCAAATTGTCTAGTACAGTTCCATCTGTAGGCTCAAAGCATGTTTTCTATCCACTGAGACGATACATATCATTTATTCCCGTAATTGTGTATAGTCTTGGTCAATTTGGAAAAACTAATAATGCCGAAGATTTCAAATCCCACTACGTTTATCCTTGCCAATAATCTTTCGAAGTTTTCATTTCTATCAGCGATGCACCAAACTGTGACATAATCAAAAAGTCCGTGATCATTTTTGAACGAAAAGACATCATTGATACTAACCATAATTTTTCCATTCACGTAGGTTGCATGATTGAGGTCGATGAAACTGTTCAGTGTGCTGTATTTTCCTTATTTTCCGGCAACAATTTATCATTTTGCTTTTGGAAAAATGCAAAGTAGCTTATCGAAGGCCGCATCCACAAAGACGTTTCCGGTATCCCTATTCAACAATACTGTCAGTGAATACTGAATAGATTTTCCCAGATGATGCAGGATCCGGAACTACGCAATGAACAAGCATTTGCAACGCGAGCATATCCCTAACCAAAAGTCCAGGCAAGGTGGCACATCGTGTGATGGGTTAATGATGAATGCAATACATGTTGAAATGCTCATGCATATTACATATTGCAATCCGATTTCAACAATCGGTGACCATAATACGTACACATTCTGAAGGCAAACGCGTAATGCCATGAAAACCGAACGAAAAGCGGGGTTATATTCATGAGCTTCTGGTACTAGGTATTCCATACATGAACGGCTGTAGAATAATTCCAGAAAACTGCTGCTTCAGGCCTAGCAGTTGAAACATTTACGGATATTCTCAATGCTGATGTCCCGCATTCACCGGCCTTGTAGATTTGATATGTTTTCATGGCAGTTTTACATGTGGAATACATTTGTGAGCCAGAGGGCCATGTTACAGAAAATGGTTCTATCGCGAACTTGGTTCAACTACAATTTATCTAACGTATACCTGTTGCAAGTTTGGAAAGTTTAACATTTCCCCGATTCCCATCAGGCCTCGGCGTGCAACGCATTAGAAATTTGAAAGATATTTTCGTTATATAAATTTCTTTCAACTTGTGACATTGTTTCGACTGACGGTCAACTAAAATTATTGATTTTCGTCATTCTAACTGTGCCGCTCTGTGAATGTCCAGTATTAGTCGTGTATGGTAGCGTATCAGTATCGGGTCGGTAATCAGGCTTTTCCGGGACCAAGTGAAATGCGGGCGGACTCCTTTTAGTCTTCACCTCCCACGAACACAATATAGAGTTGATCATTTATGGCAAACCGAAGGTGGCCCTCATCTTCTTCGGGACATTCCCACACGGATTCAGTGAGCTCTGTAGGCGACTACTTGCAGTAGTATGAACCTGAGTACAGTTATTCAGTTATCACATCATTAAATTACATATGACTAACAATAAGAACGAGACAGGGGATAAGAACTTCGAGTCCGAATAATTCGGGTGTGAGTACAATGACGCGTTCGTGTGTTTGTGTGAAGTCGATCACAGTGTCAAACGTTCAAGTGATTGCACATGTGATGCTGTGAATGGAATGGGCCAGGGGAGATTAGGAGCTGGCAAAAATTTTATCTGAGGGCACAAGGGAGGCCGTGAATGGAAGACTTACGTCTTCGACCGGGGCTAAGATACGATGCTTCACAGCTCTTGATTGCCTACATTGAATCTTCTATATCGGTCGGGATGCGCTTGCCACATCCACTCCACGGGATGCAAACACGCCGTGCTCGTAATGGTCTTCAGTGTTCTAAACCCTCAGACAAGACGGTTGGTGCTAGTGAACGCGATCGGAGAAGCACCTGGTCGGGAGTCCAATATGCTCAGTCCCACATGTTATCTAACGGCATGAATACGAATAACTGAACACAAGTTTGTTCGCCAAGCTCTTGTTCTCAATGTATTCTGTGGGACTAACAAACCGATTGAAACCCCATTTCTTGTGATTGTGATGCATAAGCAATGGCCTGTTTTGCTCCACTGAGGAACTACATGAAATAAAACAAGCCGCACATTCTCCGATTGCGGTGCACATGAGGATATGTTAGTCGCCTAAGTTGTCTTTTCATACATCAAGTATGTTAGACACGTTTTCTTTTCTGGGGTGACAATCCGTATACTTATCCGATTTCTCTGTGGTTTCAGTATAAGAAGGCCTGATAGCGCAGCATTCTGAATCATTTGAAAACCCTATGTGTCCAAGGTAGAGAATCTATCGATCCCTCCGAGTTAGAACCTCGATAAACGATTACAAAAGTGCAGTTTACCCAAGCAGATTAATGGTTGAAATCGGTGTGGTATCATGTGGTATGAATTTCGGACTCCGGGGTACATGAGGAAACCCCTACAGTCTGTGGTCAATGGACAAATTGATACTTCTTACAAAATTCCTGCTACTGCAACTTGTAACTTAGATTGCTAGATAAAAATGTAAATGAAAGGACATAATGGAAGAGTGCAAACTATTTTGTGAGTATTATGAGATAGCAGTTCGCGGAATCTTATGATATTCAAAAATGACCGAACTATCCTGACGCATATTTCCTAATATTGGTAAAACAAATGAACGACATAATCGCGATTTTTCATGATCCCATGATTCGATTTGTGGAATTATCGAATTATATGCCCGGATTTATACAACACCCATATCATGCTTGCGGTAATCATTAACCCTCATTCTGACGGCATCACACAGAGTCATCGTCTGTAAAGCACCCAAACATTTGATATCGGTTTCTTCTCGCCGATTGCTGTTTCCATATCTGATTAAAAAATCGATTTATCTTTAATAGAGCACTCATTTTTTGCACTAGAATTATAAAGATAAATTCGCACTCATCAAAACATTATTATTAGATGTCCAGTGGTTTTCTTCGCATGGTGAAAACATATGGAGTCTACATCCGCTGTGTTTAATAGCAAATCTCAAATTTATGGTTAATTCCATTCCAAAAACCGTAGATTAAGCACTCACGTTTTCACTTTTAGTCAAAATAGTCACTTGGTTCTGACATACCTGTGCATTTCCGTCACTGGATGTCCTTTTTTAAAATACGGGTGGAAGTCAATTAAATAATAAATACAGTGAGGAAATATTCTGATCGAACGGATCCAGATTGGCAGTGCGAAATGCTAGCGTAGCAAGAACACATTGCCAACAAGTTACTCAGTCAATATATGGTCGCCCTGAAATAGGTTAACCAATAGTTGTCCTGTTTGAATTTTCGCTGTAGCGCAAATTCAACTACACACGTCATTGTACCACCAAACATTTGGGTTATCGCGGTTTGTTATTGCTATTCCTCGTGACCACCGCGGCGTTTTTAACTGTCTGTAATATAATCATCTCGTCATGCACTGCGATACGTTTATTATCAACCTCAATCAATCTTTCATTCCAGAAGAAGGGTTTCTAACAGCCCAAATCGGTCAATGACTTGCAATTCAGTTTTAGGGCTGATCTAGTTAGCGATTTCTTCGTACAACTGCATTTAACTCGATATCAAATAGGCTGAATTCCCTACGGAAGGTTAGATTATATGACGGCTACCACGGAACACGCAATGCCAAAAAACCTCGGAATAAATCATAAAATGACCATCAGTTAAACAGGGTAATAAAAAGTGTGTTCAAGCTTCCTTCAGGTGCGTAATACAAGTTCTGACTTGAAGTTTGGGAGATTAAAGCAGTATTGGTGAAGGTTTTATGAGGAGAACCAAATCCGGTAGCATTGTCAAATAAAGCCTAAACATAATGGAGAATGGGGGATATGAGGTAGTTAATAAAGTGAAGGTAAGGGTTGAGGATTAGCTTAGAAACCCCATGATAGGTTTTCACTGATATAACTCCTACAGTGACTGGATCAACATCATTGGTGACCGAGATATTCGACAAAGCGTTTCGTATATAAGTGCTGAGATGCAGCGGGAAGTACAAACCCGAGATATTTCGCTCGTGTCAGTTCTTGATAACCTCCGTTATAAATGTTCTATCTGTTGCTATAAACCAGAAACTGTATTCCACAACCGCGGAGTGCCCATACTGAACTCACTCTTGCAGATTGTCTTTGACGCTGTGAAATTTTAAACCCAAATGGCGGTATTTTTAAACTATTCGTCACATAG